CCCATATATGTGCAAATGTTTTCATGGATGACATTTCATTTCTGTACATTTAAGTCGTAACTACAGATCATCAGTCACTACAGCCCACACATACAATTATCCACTCATTTATGTGCAAAATACCCATAAATGTTAAAAATGTGCAAAAAGCTTTCAGGGATGAAATTTTATTTCTGCAAGAATGTTTGAGTCGGAACTTCAGATCATCTGCGTCCCACACATATGATTATCCACTCATTACCTCAGCTAACCATATATGTGCAAATTACCCATGGCCACATATGTGCAAAATGTTTTCATGGATGACATTTCATTTCTGCAAGAACATTTAAGTCGTAACTACAGATCCTCAGTCACCACAGCCCACACACACTCATTTCTTCTCAACTGCTACACAACTGATTGATCGATGCGGCACCTTAATCATACTATTGATCTCCAAGTTACGCACAGTAAATCTAAGATACGAGATAAGAAATGGTTTAGTTAATAGAAGACGTCATTAATTGATCCCTAAAACCCAAAGTACGTCAACGAACCGGCTTAACATGTACACCTGCATGTACCGGCATATCAGTTACACACTCATGTTTATAATTAGCACCAAGTCCCGTATGTTTAGGCATCAGAAGAGAAAAAAATTAATTGGAAAATGACAGTGTAATCATTATTAAGATTGGTGGATTAATGCATTGGTACGAAATACCGGAATCCAATTAAATTCTGTAGGAAGTTTTGTGCCGCCAAGTCCCATGTGATTAAAGTTATTCCCTCTTAATGGAGCAAGTCAAATTCAGAGCGTCGCAAACCTGAGAGCCAAAAATGTTTCCATAAAATAAGCTCCTTCTCGCGTAAGGCCACGTTGATTTGATTATATGGATGACATCCTCAATGAACTCCAAAACTGATGCGAGCGTACGAGTAAAAAAAAAGTTTGGCAAAAAGTTGCCTTCATTAGGCCACACCGACTTAATTTTATGGATGACATCAGCGCGCGCATTGATTTTCGCCTGTCCTCAAAACAAAACAAAAAGATCACGTCCACCGAGCTAGGCTCTGGCCTGGCTCTAGGCCTGGTTAGTCTATAGCTGTTAGCGACAATACGGAGCCGGGCACACAGGCTACCGAAGCTCCACGACTTAAGAACTCAGTAGCGCTGATTCATAAATTCCGCAAAAAGCCAGGCTGGCGTACTGACGCAAATTCACAATACCAGCTATACCAGCTGTGTATTCCTGTGGTTTAGTAGCATTTTATTTTTGGCCGGAATTATTTTAATACGCCCGCGCGCAATAGTTTGCGGGTCTTCAGAGTATGTCATCCATAAAATTAAGGCGGTGTGGCCTCATGAAATACAAGTGGTCAAGAAGGTTTAACAAATGACTAAACCCACAGAATATATAGTCTAGTATATATCTTAAATATTCGTCTATATTCTAAATATCATATTTCTATTGAATGTTTTTAAAATAAAGTAACAAATTGAAAACCATAACTTATTTACAATGATATATAAGATATTATTTTTATTACTTAACGAGTTGCCGCTCATTGAACAACAAAAACAAAATCTGAGTTGCCGAGTCAGTGCATAATATAAGTTGTCTGCCTTCGCCGTTAGTTGCATATACGTAAATAATGGCTACAACATATACATGTATTTTCACCCTTCTTTTCACTTACGGAAATGGATTCAATTCCATCCAATACCTTGTACCACTGAGATGGGATGGCCCGTGGTGGACATTGAGATAATCCTTCCCTTTTGCCGCCTCTATACTGGCAAGGTACTTACACTATTTTTTCTTATGGCTATACCATCAACACGGGCGGTACTTAGTAGCCTGCCCCCTGGTGCCTACAGTTTCGGCCTGCTAGATATGGCTTACAACAAATGTTGCGTTTCCTTTCTCAGTCCATAAAAACTTAAGGGTGGGTATCCTTTTTTCTTTATCTATTTTTTTTACATTGGGGATCTCTAGTGATCCGACTTATACAATACAGTTTAACAAAGTAAAACATGCTTGAGGAAAATTTTATTTTCAATTTCAATGTTTAAAAAACGATTGTACAATGTTTCATCAATCAGGTTTTTGTTTATTGTTGTTGTTTAATGTTTATTTTACCAGGGACAACATATCACGCCAGAGGGCGGTTTTCAATGCTCCGTGAAGTGCAAGCCCCAAACACAAAATAATAATAATACAACACAAAGTAATAACTGTATGAACAAACTTATGTACAGTCAAAATTGAGCTAATTAAAATAAGGTAACTTAATGGTAAGCAGGAACTTAAGCATGTCAGATCATGGAACTAGAAAAAAGTTGATCATCTCAAAAAAGTCATGTCCCTTGCAGGGAGCCACCCAAAAAAGTTAGGGTCGGCAGGTTTTTCTAAGTACGGTTGGGAAACGGGAAACAGGAAACACAACTTTTTTTTTTCCTTCTAGGCCTAATACCGTTTCGGTGACGTGCATGAGTTCCCTCGTATGTTTACGATAGTGTTTTGTGGCTACCGGGGGAATGGTCATTAAACGTTGTCTCCTGAGTGATCATCCCGTATAGAAATTGATCTCTAGTTCTCGTTTATGGACGTCTGTGCGATTGCAAACACCCTTGGGGAGTTCCAAGCTGAGGAGGCAGAATGTCAAAGACTATTAAATGGAGAGAAGTACTGAACCCTTGCTAGGGGGTGAAAAAGATGTAATTTTTAAACCCATGGACCCAATAATTACTTATGGGTGTACTATGGTAACTATTCTCTCCCTTGGCAATGCTTTGCAATAGACAACACGAATTGAGCTCCTTGTTAATGTTCAAATTTTCATGGCAAGAATCTTAGGTCTAGGGACCAGATAACGCAGTTGAAAGTTTATTGCAAATTCAATATACACTGCCAGATATCGCAAGAGCACATACGTACACTGCCCTACCTGATAGACCTACTCAACAACAAAGGGTTAGCTTCATAAATTAGCAGTAGAGCACACTACATGTAAGGTTCGAAATTTTGTTTATGTATATATATATTCTTTATTGTCTTAAATTGTACTTTACTCCAGCCGTCGAAGGCTGCCACTGTACGATCTGTAATGATAATGGTGTAAATAAATTATTTAACGTCCATTTAATTTCATTCATTACCTTCGCCAAGAAGGTTATGTTTTCAGTAGCGTTTGTCCGTCTGTCTGTCTGTCTGTCTGTGAACAGCATAACTCAAGAAGCTTAATATGCATTGTCATGAAACTTGGTAGGTGGGTAGGTCTTGATGAGAGCTAGAAATGATTAGATTTTGAGCCCCCTGGCGGCTTTCCTAGGTACTGCAGCAGAACTTCCGGTTTTGATATCTCGCGATCTGGACATACTAAGGTCACCAATGTTTGGTGGTAGATAGCTCTTGGGGTAGGGAAGAAGTGACATGAGTTTGGACCCCCTAGCGGCTTGTTGTGGAACTGCAGGAGCATTTGTTGAAAAATGTTTGAAGAAGGATAACTCAAGAACCAGTTGGCGGATTGTCATGATTTTTGATTTGTAGGTAGCTGAAGTGATGCTTGACATAATCAATGACAATTATGCAAATCAGGAGCTAATTTGCATAATTAATGAGGAAATTCTATAAATCTGTTTTGCTCGATAATAGGACTATGAAACACTTGTGACATGTAATTGAGAACGAAAAAAAACATCCGAGGATATATATTATGTAAATGAAGACCTAATTTGCATAATTAGGGAATTTTCATAATTTCATAGTTGTAACTGCTAGGGAATTTCATACTTGCCACATTTGGAAGTTAAGTGAAGGCAAACATCAATAAATATAATTTATTCAAACCATTACCTCATTTGCATAATTTATGAGCAAGTCCTATAATAGCCTATAATAGCCTTATCTTCCTTATAGGAAGATAAGGCTGTCATTGGGTGGAGAATATGATCAACTGATACAATCCATGCAAATGAGGCTCTTACTTGCAAAATCAATTATTGAAATTGTATAATTCGTCACCCGCAAGGGTTAACATAATTTGGCGAAGGTATGAGATCGTGGAACTCTTGTTTGATAGTGTGACTGATGCAACATAGAATCTGCTCAATCGAGAACACCAACAATATATCACTGATGCCCCTGACACATTTAGCCGAAAATTCCTCCCGAACATTAGCCGAACGTCTCACAACCTCGGTTAGGAGGAGGTCGGAGACAAAATCGGCTTGTGTTCGGCGAGGTTGACTGCTATTCGGCTGCGCCAGCCAAACATTCGGAGGTTAATTCGGAATGTTGAGCCATGGTTGGCTGGTGTTCGACTCGACGTCAGCAGAACACCAGACAAACAGACTTTCGAAAGTAAGTCAGCAGTTTTTGGGGGTGCATTCGGGAGGTCAAATTTGTCTAAAATTTAACTCAAGTTCGTTTACTTACATAATATAATGGTAGACGTGGCCTAAATCTGGTCAGAATTCTCCCTAAAGTGGTCGGCTAGAGTTCCAATCCCGGCTGTTGTCAATCACCCGACATGCACGCTACTGCAAAGGGTTGCAGTCCCTAGGACGGGACGTTGAGCCGTGGTCCACTGTTCATTGTGCTTGTCGAAAAAAGAAGGGGGATTTTTCCTGGTAAAAACGAAGCTGTAAATATTGTACATATTGTCTGTCTTCTCTGTCATAAGAATACTCTGTCAGTAGAAGATTAGCTCTTCAGTGAGCTAAAACTGTAGTATGTAGTATATGGGGATTCATTCCTCAAGCTAGCCGACATCTCGCACACGCAGTCGTCCCTCAGTAAGGCATCTGGAGCCGCATGGTTCCCGTTTAGAGCTGACAGGCTAAATAAAAGTTCTATGCGGCTCCAGGTGTCTTGCTGAGGGACGACTGCGTGTGCGAGATGTCGGTTAGCTTGAGGAATGAATCCCCCTCTACTATATCCTACAGTGAGCTAAAACTGGATCGAGATCACTTTCCTTTCCTAACGTTGCTTTTTTTCTGTATTCTCTACCAGGTTTTGATGAGTACTTCACCGCCCTGAATCCTAAGAACAACAACAGGAACGCGTGGTTCACAGAATTCTGGGAGGAAACCTTCTACTGTAAATACAACATGATGGACGCCCGGGATGGCGTGCGGCAGTGCAGTGGTGAGCGTTCATTTTATTCCAAGGATAGAAAACCTTTACTATCATGTAAGTTCACCTGAGTGGGTAAAATACATTTTTAATGACGATTTACCGCATTTATGGAGGGATTGACATAACAGGTGACTATCACCTCTTCAAAGATGTCAACCATGAGACCAGACTGTAAGGTTTGAACCACTCACACCGGGAAGGTCCCCTACTCTTTTCGATAAGTGCGGTGGGTTCTTTACCGTGCGTGGGGTGTGGGCGTGGCTATTTCCAGACACGGGACCCCCATTTAACGTCCTATCCGAGGGACGTCCCTAGCCGAAGTTAGGTACTTATTTACACCTGAGTGAAGTGAGGAAAGTCGTGTAAAGTGCCTTTCCCAAGGGCACAAGATCGGTGGCATCGGGCAGGATTCGAACCCTTGCCCTCTCGAGTCTGGGCCGAAGGCGCTACCGCTATGCCACACGACCCCACTGTGATACACGAAGAAAATTAAACTGTTTTCCAACTCCAAAACGAAAATAACTCACCAGAAATTTTCTACTGAATCGCTCAGTCTTCATCAGCTTTATGACCCAAGTGCTGTGGACACGTGACTTTTAACCACGTGTGACGTCAGCACTAGGTTAAAGTTCGTCGGAAGTCGTTACCGCCCCCCGTCACGGTTGAGCGAAGGTTGGTATGCCCTGATGTAGATTGCTTCTTTCACCCCCCTCGTAAAAGGGTCATTAAGCTGATGAAGACTGAGCGATTCAGTCGAAAATTTCTGGTGAGTTAATTTCATTTTTGAGTTGGCGAACAGTTTAATTTTCTTCAGAGATAACCTTTATTGTACATTCATGCCCTATCGGGCTAAGTACATGTACAGATGAACAGATGAAAAGGTATTTATACATGGTTGTAGTACAAGCAGGACTACTGATGCTAATCTAACATAGAGAAGTAACATTTGCATAGCAAAAATGCATAATGTTTACCTTTATATAGCAGGCATGGTCTGCTCTGTTAATTTTTACTCAAACATATTTACATACATGTACTACGTGTATATGGTGACAGGAGTAGAGCAGACCATGAAATTGCAACATTATGTAACCCAGTCACCATGGTGACAGACGACGTCAACAAATCATGTCATTGGCCAGGTCAGAGGTTAGTGTTTGTAACAGAAGAGGAAGAAACTGAGTAGAAACAATATGTTTTCCTCCGGTAAACATAACTACATCTGCTCTAAAACTACTCTAATACAGTGAATGTGTGACAGGGCTTGTAGCAACAGCATAGACCATTCATTCTATATGTCAACCAACAGGCACACAAAGTTTGGAACGGAAATACATCCTACATTTTTATTTGCCTTGCTCTACGTATACTTAGTCTCCAATCAACATCAACATATGCTCCATATCAGCATCAAAAGACTATGAGCCTATTCTTGCAAGTCCTTTAGGTCTCTGTATGAAATCTCAACGATACTAGGGGTTTTTAAATGATCCTTTTAGTAACCATTTGCACAGGACGTCGGATTTATTCTAATGGCTGAACCCTAGGACGTGAATTACGACGCCTTCGAAATTACCAAACGATTTTTATAGCAACTGCTCAGCTGGACAGCTTTTTCATCAAAGAAGCATTCCTAAGCTATATACATTATTAAAGTTGTGCTAAATGGAGCAAGTTTATACGAACCGTTGTTAGTTAGGTTGCAGTTAAGGTCGCAGAACACAGTATTAACGGGCAACCCCCGGTGGGTCTATGGCGTGGATATAAAAAGTAGTGCGGACAAAACTCTTGAAGCTTGGCTAGAATGGCTTATATGAGAGGTAGCCAGGAGTAAATTGCGCTTTGTGTTATAGAAATATATCAGGTTTAAGACTGTATATAAGATTTGGATTGTGAAGCCTTTTTTTCTGTTCGTGTATAAATGCGCGGCATTACGCAACTGCGTTCCAGGGTGAGCTGGCTGCAGTTCAGTTGACCTCCGCAGGAGGCCATATAAAAGTGGTCGTTAACATGTTAAAAACCATAACTTTTTTGTTTTTATTTATTTTGTAGATTTTACCGTAAATTTCAACTTAATAGTTGGACGTGTTTCTCTAGTACAATGCACCCTAATAGAATTTTACCGCATTGAAGTGAGTCACCTTGGGGTCCTTAATTATAGAAGTCCCATTGGGAGAAAACTGTGTTCTGGCACCTTCTTTATTAATATTTATTATTATTTCCAGAATAGGATCCACGAGGCAATAAAAAAGGTATAAGAAATAACAATGATAACAGAATAACAAAATTAAATTAAATTAAAATTAGAATCAACTAAAAATGTAACATTTGTAAAATAAAGCAAATGCATCATGTTTACCTTCACATATGGTCTGCTCTGTTAATTCTAACTCGAATACATTCATATATATGGTGACAGGAGTCTAAATCCCTCCTACTGATAAAATTGCAACATCATGTAACCCAACACCAGTTACCAGGGAGACAGACGTCTGGTTCTGGGTATTGACTTTTTATGTTTGGAAAGGAAGAAGAGGAAACGTAGCAAAAGCCATATGTTTTCCTTCGGTAAACATAAGATATATAAGATAAGATAAAATAAGATATATGGAGACAAGAGTCTAAATCTCTCCTGCTATAATATTGCAACATAATGTAACCGTTACCATGGTGACAGACGTCTGGTTCTGGTCAATGACCTTTTGTCTTCCCAATAGAACGAGAACGAGAACAAAGCAAAAACAATATATTTTCCTTCGGTAAACATCACAATGAATAACGATAACGGAACAAGTAACGAAATAGATAAGATAAAACCTAGACAAAGTTGAAGAAAGAAAGTTGGCAGGGAAAAGGCATCGCAGGTCTTCGAACCCTTGATTGGCCTCCGGGGAAAGATCGACGCGGCAGGAAGCAGCTGGTTCACCGCGCGGGAGGGTGGAATTTTCCGTTCGGCACGCTGGAGCAGAAAATTGCTCATTAGAACGGGGCGTATCATTAAGACGACTTGAATCTTTCATTCCGCCTTGAGGTGGAGGCTCTACTCTTCCAGATGAGTGTTCCTAGCGGGGCTTTATTAGCGGATGGTATGAAGCGAGGGACGGGAAAGTCCAAGGGTATTGTAGGTGTTCAACCGTGCATCAACTATCTACGTAAAACAGACAGACCAAATATTACCTGTTGAGTATATGTGTGTAAGGCCACACCAAATAATTTTGATGGACGACGTCCACTCACGCGTTAATTTTGGCCTGTTTCAAGAAAAAAATAATAATAAATTTTCTCGTGACTATGTGAGTCACGACAGATGTGACTAAAGGAAAGACGACAAAAGTTGTTCCACTAATTTATTGCTTGTTGATTGTAACTCTGTCTGTGTTCTCTCGTTCGAATTTGTGTCCTAACATTTGCCATTCTTTAGTATATTTCAAATCTAGGCATCTTGTTTTTTTTGGCCATTCTTGCTTTTTCGCGCTCTCGCATTAGTTTTAGGGTCTGCAGAGGACGCCATCCATAAAAATTACTTGGTGTGGCCTAACCACATATAGCCAATGTATTCAACCTTTAGTTAATATGATTGCATTCAGTGTATCCACTCGGTTGGTTAACCTTTAGCGAACTGCATTAAAAGTGCTACTGTGCCAGTTTAGGATACATGCCAGCAGACGTAGCACGCTACAGGTTAATTGCACTGTACGGAATGTCTCGTTTCTTATCTATGATCTTTGGATAATATTATTGTATTCAGTGTAACCAATCGATGGAAATTCGTGGACGATTTGAACTTGATCGAGAGTCGTCAGATAAGCGGGAACTCTACGATCCAAAACGATCTCGACGAGTTGAATAACTGGTCAACGGTCCACAGAATGCAGCTTCACCCGAAAAAGTGCAAGGTTATGTACCTTCACTTTTCGAAAACAGTACCACCACTACCACCACTCAAAATAGACGACCACCCCCTACAGGAAGTGAAAGTGGCGAAGTTACTGGGCTTGCACCTGCAAGCAGACCTCAGATGGGACGCCCATGTAGACTACATGGTGAAGAAAGGCGGCACGAGGCTGTTCCTTCTCAGAAAACTGAAGACTTTCCGATTATCTATAGAGGACTTACTCACAATCTACACTAGCTACGTCCGACCAGTGTGTGAGTACGCAGTACCAGCGTGGCATCCAGGCCTTACACAAGCACAACGTAACCAGCTGGAGAGAATCCAACGCCGTGCCGTCAGAACTATCCTTGGCAAAAACTACACTAACTATGCTGACGCCTGTCTCCTACTTGGCCTCGAGACTTTGGAGCGACGACGAGACCACCTCTGCTTGACTTTTGCCAGAAAACTCTTACAATCTCCCGACTACCGACATTGGTTCCCTCCCCGCCGGGGGGACATCAGTGGACGTGCAACACGGTCCAGTAACCAGATTGACTGTTTTAGAACAAGAACCGAACGCTTTAGAAACAGCGCACTACCATACATGGTTAAGTTACTGAATAACTCTGAAGCGGCAATGTAAGAGTAATCTGTTGCTAATGTTGTACAGAAGCCTCTCACCGAACCTTTTTTTACTGTGTAACGTTTTAAACATGTATATTGATTATCAATCCATTTTCTATAGCAGAGGAATATTTTACGATTTATAAATTTTAACAATATTTAATAATATGTAATAATGTTTTAATAATAATACCCATATTTTAATGATATTTTGTGACCTCAGAGCAATTCAGGCAGCCAGTATGGCTGCCTGCGAGTATGTTGTCAGTGTAATGGTAATTGAAATTGTGTACGTCTGGAGTTTGCAATTTTGAAATAAACCATTCTACTACTACCACTCAGTTGGTGCATTAACAGTGCGAACGTAGCTGTTTGAATACCTGCCAACAGACCCAGCTCCCTACATGTTAAATGCACCTAATGCAATTTCAGGGCGGCAAAACAGCAAATACTCTACATAAGGAAACCTGTCAGACATTTACATGTACTGGCATTTTAGCACATTTTCTCATCATTTTATACTTGAAGCTTACAAACAGTCTCTTTAGTTTTTGGTACCATCCGTAAGTAGCTATAACCAGCCTACTTATACAAAATATACAACCGTTTTCCGTAAGTGACATCGCATTTTTCCCTCACAGATATCAGTTTGCTATGTGATAGGATTGATTCAACTTACTATACTACATTCAAAGAATGACCACAGCATTGACTCTGAAAATTCAGTTTCGCCGTCCTGAAATTGCATTTGCATGCCTTTAAAACTTTTGTTCCAACACAACAGAATGTCTTCACCTAGAACTTTCGACCAGTCATTCTTGTCTTCTTCAATAGACTGACCCAGTGAGACTTGTCACGTGGTATGTCTAAAGTGTCACGTTAACACTAGGTCAAAGGTATCTGGTAAACGATGTCGGCCCCCGTCGCGGCTGAGTGATGGGTGATGAAAATCCACTTTTGCCGGATTACTTTAAATGCAGCTTCAGCTATTTATCTCATTTTTTTTCATTTTTTTTAATTGAAAAAAAAAAAACAATTTCAGTCAAAACCTATGATAACTACTTTTACACGTGATAACGGTTGTATCAAGCATATCGCATTAATTCGCTACAAATAAGGTAGATATCAATTCTTCTCTAGTAGATTAATGAGATAGAGGGTCGCCATCTCATTAATTTACTAGATAGAGAACAAAATTCCCATTCTAGTGAATTAATGAGATAAAGGAATGCTATCTCATTAATTCACTAGACAGAGAACAAAATTCTTCTAGTAAATCAATGAGATAGAGGGTCGCTATCTCATTAATTCACTAGACAGAGAACAAAATTCTTCTAGTAAATTAATGAGATAGAGGGTCGCTATCTCATTAATTCACTAGATAGAGAACAAATTTCTTCTAGTAAATTAATGAGATAGAGGGTCGCTATCTCATTAATTCACTAGATAGAGAAAAAACTCTTCTAGTAAATTAATGAGATAGAGGGTCGCTATCTCATTAATTCACTAGATAGAGAACAAAAAACACCTAACTCAACAACACCTAACCACATCTCTCCTGCTCCAGGGTTCTCCAGCTCATAACTTTGATATAAATACAAAACTCACAGATACACTCCACATGTTTATTGCCCAATCCAAAAGATTCTGTGTCTCTTCTAGCTGAGCCACACTGAACATTCAATTGCTGTACAGTTATAAAATTGACTTTAATTGCAGGTGTAATTTATTTGATAATATTATTTGTGTATTTATCTTGTTCTAACTATTTATTATTGTTTTTCTATGTCATATGTCCAGGTATGTGTTAGGTGTGCACGATATCAGCATGCTTGCTGCCTAGTGCACACTTTGTATTGTCATGTTACAATTCTGAATAAATAAAATAGAGAACAAAATTAATAGAATGCTGTTTCTTGTTTATTTCACAGGTCGGGAAAAGTTGGGCAGAGATGAGAGTAGAGAGAGCAGATACCTACAGGAAGACAAGGTGCAGTTCGTGATAGACGCCGTGTATGCCTTGGCTATCGCCTTCGACAGAATGCACAAGGAGATCTGCGGCCCAGCCTACGCTACAAAAATCTGCAGCCAGCTCAGGGACATAGACGGAGAACTGCTGTTGTCCTATATTCGTAATGTTTCGTTCCATGGTAAGAAATTGCGTAATGCACTATCACTCAATATACCCTTAGGCACTACTCTCCAAGCAGAGATTTGGCGGGTTTTGGCGTGTTATATAGGATCATATAGGCCTTTATATCGGGCTCTCTTTGTACTACTATCCTTTTACGGGTGGTAATAAATGGATACTGCCGGGCCAATTCGATGCTGTCTTTGCAGTCACAGAAAAAGATCTGCTTGGAGATTGTTAGGTACAAGGACTTGAAGACTTCATTGTCTACATGTGACCATAAAATGTAACAGAAAGCTTCCATCGCGTTCAAAATACACCCTTACATTTCCATCTTACCATGAGAAAACAATCCTACAACTAAAATCAAAGAACCCGTATATCATAGAAGTCAAAACCGAGTAGAACTGTAACAGCAACTCTTCTCCCTGAGTCAGAAACATCAAGATTGAGACCAGCCCAATTTCTCACAAGTAGTGAGGACTAACTGACCCAATAGGAGAAGCAGGGGTTACGAGGCTGGTCGGGAAAATTCCCTACCCCATTTTAGACCATAATGGTTTGTTCCACTTCCGCTCACGTGGGTTCTTTAATGTGCTTGAGGTGTGTCTCTCCTCAAACACGGGACCTCCATTTTAACGTCTCATCCGATAAGACAAGACGTCCCTAACCGAAGCTAGGACCTAGGTACTCATTTTCACCTGAGTGAAGTTTGTACTTGCAATTAGTCCTCGGGCATATATTTACAATAAACTATGTTTGTTCTATCACACTTGTAGGTGCCAGTGGTGACCTCATTTACTTTGACGACAATGGAGATGCACCGGGAAGATATGACATCGTCCAATATCAAAAGTTAAATGGCAGGTAAGATTGGGGTACGAAATTGTCATCAGTACACAAATTATAAAAAAAATGAGCCGTATTGAAACAGTGGCTTGAGTGATGTATCAAGCACCTTTAAGTTACACATTTTGATACGGTCCTAGCACATAGAATACAATTATGTAAGAGTAAAATAAAAATTAGCATAAATAATACTACTAAATGCTACTTTTAATATCGTTATTATTGGGTTTGATTTCTTTTCTGTGTGTAGCGGAGTATGAAATGCCAGACGTTTTGCAAAATGAATTGGAGGTGTTAACAAAAAAGGCTAGAAAGGATAATAAAGCTTGTATTCTCTGTAGCCTCTATCAGGCTTCGGGAGGCGGCTGAAAAGAGTAGAAATCGGCCAAATAGAGAGATAACATGCCAAGCCTAGTTGTTTGGCTGGGGAGAACAGTTTGCTGCTCCCGGCCGACCAAACTCCCCTGGCATGTTATCGCACTATTTGGCTGATTTCTACTCTTTTCAGCCGCCTCCCAAAGCCTGGTAGAGGCTGCATTTTCTGTGCAATATTTACATCTTCTATTCTTAACAGATAATTAGTTACTACCTTTTTTCTTCAAAGTGTCTTTTGTAATAGCGTCTATTTAATCTCTCCTTTTAGCTATGACTACGTGACCATCGGAGACTGGAACGGGACGTTGCGGCTGAGCGGGACGTGGTCGTTCCCGGGTGTCCAGCGGGGCCTGGTCCCGCAGTCCGTCTGCAGCCAACCGTGCGGCCCCGCCGAGAAAAAACTCAAACCCGAGAAGGGCAACGCCTGTTGCTGGCACTGTGTAAAATGTGACGGCTACCAGTATCTATTAGACGAAAACACGTGTCGAGACTGTGGAGAAAAGTGGAAACCGAACGCCACTCGTACAGGATGTGTGCAACTGGACGTCAGGTTTCTTCGCTGGAATTCCGCATGGGCCATGTTCCCTGTGTGCATTTCCACCTTGGGCATCGCAGCCGCCATTTTCGTCATCACAGTTTTTCTGAGATTTCAAGAAACACCCATCATCAAAGCGTGTGGAAGAGAGCTAAGCTACATGATACTGTCTGGTATACTACTGGTGTATAGTGTAACGTTCTTACTGGTAGCGAAACCTTCAGCAGCCGTGTGCGCAATACGCAGGCTAGGACTAGGCCTGGGACTAACTCTTTGCTACGCGGCACTGCTCACCAAAACGAACCGAATTTACAGAATTTTCAAGCTGGGAAAATCGACGCCGAAGAAGCCGAAATATATCAGCCCGAACTCGCAGGTTTTTATCTGTTTAGGGTTGGTAGGTGTGCAGATGTTAGGGGTGATTGCGTGGCTTATAGCACAACCACCGAGCAGTAACGTAGAGTGGTTCAGACCGAGAGATCCGACGTTTGCGACCGGGATGCTTCTGTGTGGAACCAGCGATGTCTCCTTCATATCCTCGCTTAGCTACAGCATGGTCCTGGTGGTCATGTCGACGATATACGCCGTCAAGACGCGGCACATCCCGGATAACTTCAACGAGACCAAACACATAGGGTTCGCCGTCTACACCACCTGTATCATCTGGCTAGCCTTCATCCCCATCTTCTTCGGCACATCACAAGTCGTTAATAAGGTAAACACTCCAACTTACGTTAGCAGTTTAAAGCTGCATTATGTAATATTTGCTCGATACAAAAAGTCAATGTTTTGTCATTTCTTTACAAAGCACATTGAATCAACCGCACTTGTTTGCGAATAAGTGGAATTCAGAAAGTGTAGGTGCCAAACTATGACGCCTTACGAGTATGTTTAAAAGCCAAGTTTGTTTTACATTCTGGTATTTTGTGGTGGCACAACAAACTGTGTGTGTCTCTTGTGGGTTGTTTTAGCGCCAACAATAACTGTCAGAAATGCGGAATATTTGCAGAAATATGTTGAAAAGTGCAATTAAATTACAATCGCACAAATACTTTTAAATCATATTATTTTAATGTTTGTTGCAAAAAATATTACATTAAGCCACTTTAAACTGAAATTTACAACACAAGAAATTGGACGTACCCAAATTTTCGACTCTACAACTCCAGTCTTCGTCAAGGAATGAGGAACCCACCGCTTCATGTTGCGTCACGTTATGCAGATGACACACGTGACTCAGTGAGCAGTGGATCGTAGGTTCCAGGAAGTCTGTGGCGCCCCCGTCTTTGTTGAGGGAGACACACGGGCGTTAGCATTTATAATTTGTAACTAAGCTGTGAACTCTAGGCCTAACAAACTACTCTTTATACCCTATCTACTGGTCTTGGAGTTGGCACTTTCCAGAGAAAGCTTAAAGTATTGGCAATCTTTAGCAACTTCGTTAAGAAAACTAACTTTACATTGAAGACTCCTCAGTGTCAACCATGATAAGACACAGCGTTGGCCTTAGACTTGCTTGTGAGAGAGTTCATGGATAATTGGAAGCTAATACGCACAGAGACCAATCAACTAATGGTATAGCCACCCTAGAGAGAAACTAAAGCAATTGCCAATCTTATAGGAGTAGGTTATCTTTATCTTAACCAGTTCTTTTGGCCTAGTTTGATAGCCCAGGCTACTTTGTTAGATAGAAAAACGTACGGCATGAAAGAATCAGTTGATTAGTGAGGATAACTCAGGAAGTACACCAAGAGCGGGCAACGTACATTTGCATATAGAGCTGCAGTAATCTACAATTACAACTCACTAAACCGGGGTTAAAACAAAAACACTAAAGCCTTGGTCACAACCCACCGTACGTGCTTTTTGTCTGTACGTTTTTTTGGGAGGCTACGTCTGCTACGTTTTTTCTGAAAACGTGGGGAAGGAGTGGGGTCGACGCACGTCACTCGCACGGTTGCGCAAGGTGTAAGCGTGTGGTCTGCACGCCACGTCTAGCCGTGAGCGGTTCCGTGCATCCTACGATGCGCAAGTTATAAGTGAGTTGTACGTGCTTACAACGTACGATCTCTGTGCGATTGCAACTTTACTGTAAAGAGGTAATACTCACACGTGCGTCTTACGTACGGTACGTGCGGGGCACGCGCGTCGCTCGTACTCGCACGCACGGGTGGTGAATCCGCAGACCACACGTTGAAAATGTTTTACATGCACTTAAAGTTCTACGGCGTGTCTGCGTGCTCCCAAATCCGTACGGAGGCGGTACTCACAACGCACGGTTGCCCTACGTTTGCCCACGTTTTTGCACGTAGACAGTAATCATAATGATAACAATAATACTTATAATCATAATAATAACTGATAATAATAATGATTCATAATTCTACACATAACTGATAATAATAATAATAATAAGCATAATAATAACAACAATACTAATATTCAAAATAATCACTGATCATAATAATCATTCATAATTCATAATAATAACTGATCATAATAATAACAATAATACTCATAATCATAATAATAACTGATAATAATAATGATTCATAATTCTACACATAACTGATCATAATAATAATAATAAGCATAATAATAACAATACTAATAATCAAAATAATCACTGATCATAATAATCATTCATAATTCATAATAATAACTGATCATAATAATAACAATAATACTCGTAATCATAATAATAACTGATAATAATAATCATTCATAATTCTACACATAACTGATCATAATAATAATAATAAGCATAATAATAACAACAATACTAATAATCAAAATAATCACTGATCATAATAATCATTCATAATTCATAATTATAACTGATCATAATAATAACAATAATTATAATCATAACAATAATCATAATAATCATTATCATAACAATCACTGATCATACTAATTATTCATAATTCAACTTTTTTTCATATCTTGTCTATTTCTATCAAGTTCAACTCATTTCAGTTTACACGTCTTGTATTAGCATGCCGTTGACACATCCTGCCTTTCTTCCTACAATAATGAGATTCCCGACGAACGTTGCCACGTCTAATTAAGGCAACAACGTGATTAAGGGCTCACGTACGCCAAGACGTTTGCGCCATGCAAATTGTCTTTCTCGGTCGGAAATGTTTCTCCAACATTTTTTTTCGTAACAGTACAACAAAGTTTATATTCCTTATAGCCTTCGACAAACCAACTCTAACTAATTATACGGTCAACTACATTTATACAGTAAGACCATGGTTTGATTATATGAATGACATCCACGCGCGCATGAATTTTCGGTCGTTCCCTCCCCCCCAAAAAAGGTTTTTAACCTTACTGTAAATCGTACAAAACTATTGCAAAATGAGCAAATATATACCGTAAGTTGCAAAAAAATATTTGAAAACGATTCCAATGTCGTAAAATACCAAAATCAAACAAAAAAACGACAATGTAAATAATAGAGTAGATTATTCGTCATACCATACTCTGTGTCATTTGTTCTGCCTTTATAACGACGTACATTTCATAATGAAAGCAACTTATTTGTTGCAACTTTTTTTTATTCGCACGCTCGCATTGGTTTTGGGGTTCCCAGAGGATGCCATCCATATAATCAAATCTAGGTGGCCTTACTAAGAAGTGACAGAAAGTGGAAAGTAATTGTGAATACTAGATAAATATACAATGTATAGTTTACATGTAACCTGTGCTTAGCCCAGGGGGGCAACTATGTACAATAAACGTATTAATTAATTGATTAATTAAATAATTAAATAATTAATTAATTAATTATGTGTCTGCTTCAGGCACTAAGCTGCATGTAGTTTCAAGGTCGAACATGTTGAGATTCATAACTCTTATTTGTTATTATAACTCTTTCTTTTGAATGACATTTATCTATTATCATTTTGACCCCACAACCGCCATATATTATTTGCTATGTATTACCTTGTTTCCTAAGCATTTAATTTATCATTGTTAGGCCATGTTGATTTGATTATATGGCATCCTCTGGGAACCCGAAAACTGATGCGAACGTGCGAATAAAAAAAAGTTTTGCAAAAAAAAAGTTGCTTTCACTATGAAATCTACGTGGTCATGAAGGTTGAACAAATGGTACAGAATATGTTATGGCGAATAATTTACTCTTCGAATTCATTTCTTTACATTTTTGTCTTTTTTCTTTTGATTTTGGCATTCTACGACATTGGTATCGTTTCTAAATAATTTCCTTGCAACTTATGGTATATTTTTGCTCATTCAGCAACTTTTTTGCACGATTTACAGTATGGTTGAAAACCTTTTTTTTTGTAAACGGCCGAAAATTCATGCGCGCGCGGATGTCATCCATATAATCAAATCAACATGGCCTTAGTAAAGAATATCAACAACCATAGTAAAATCTAAGTCGTAACCGGCAGAGAAAACACGCTTGTAGTATTCTACAAGCAGACTACTGTATTTGGTATGATTGATACGCACTCACTGATAATGTTCATTTTAAAGTCTAAAACTCCCACACACATACGTACACTCTAGGGATCTAAGCGTGTTCATTTAACTTACTTACGGCCACCATATGTTATTAGATACAAACGTTTGAAGCCCCTGCCACACATTCACGACCTTCCACCGAATTTGTTACCGAGCATCAGCCTGATTCGTCTGACGTTCGGGAGCAAGACCTATGCCATTCTATACGGAACAATTTTGAGTTTAATTTGAGTCAAATTTAACCCCCCCCCCCCAACACTGCTAACTTATTCCCACAATGCTGGTGTTCTGATGACTGATGTCAGGAGCAGCCTGAGCAGATTTAGGCCAAGCCTACCTTTCTATACGAGTCGAAACGAATTGGCGTTAAATTTTGGTCAAATTTGAATCCCAAACACTGCTGACTTACTCCCTAATGATTGGCTGGTGTTTTGTTGACTTACAAGCGAACATAAGCCAAAAATGTGGGGTCGTGTGGCGTAGTGGCAGAGTGCTCGACTCGGAACCAAGAGGTCCCGAGTTCGAGTCCTGACATGCCACCGATCTTGTGCCCTTGGGAAAGGCACCTTACACGACTTTCTTCACTTTGCTCAAGTAAAAATGAGTATTGTATTGTCCCGTGTTGGCGTTGGAATTAATATAACTTTTTAAAAACTTGAGTGTGCCGTCACCACGTCTTGTGACTATATGTTGAAAAAAAAAAAATGGTCGAACCTCCCGACCAACCCCTGAATGTTTTGAACATTTTGAAACATTCAGCTGAATAGTAGCTGAATTCGCCGAAGTGAAGCCAACTTTGCGCCGACCTACTCCTCACCATGGTTGGGCGGTGTCCAGCTAGTGTTCACATCGGGAGGCCACATCCGTGAATATGTGTCAGGGGTTTAACCGCCCTTATTCACAGGCGGCTGTCCGCCTACACTGCTCCAGAACACGTTAAGCCTGCGATCAAGGAAAGAGAGGATGATTACTCCAAAATCCTGATATATGAATGTGTGGGTGGTACTTTCAATGAACCAGTAAAGTTTGCTCATTCTGCATGGAAATTGGACTGGCACTCGACAGGAATAAGGTGCTGACTTTCGGTAGAGTTTCCTGAATGTTTGGCTGAACACAGCTCAGCCATTCGGAACGGGAAGGCAGACAACTGATAATATTTAGAACGTCAGACGTCCTAACCACGCGAATGCGTAGAATGATACTGATTCTTTATTT